TTTTTTTTTTTTTTTTTTGTACCAGCCACATTTTATTGTATCTTTCAGCTACTAGGTTTCTTGCTGCTCCATGTTTTATGGCCTTTCTGTCTTTCTCTGGCTTTTTTAGCAATGTCCGCTCTGAGGCTGGTCACACTTTCAGTAACTTTCCTCCTTCTTTACCCTATTTTATTTTGTTGCTAAACTGAACTATTGCAGGTTGTAGGTTGGTTTTAGCAAGTTTTTAATTGGTCTTAGAATTTTGTGCTTTTTGTGTTCTGGTTTTTGTTTTGTTTTGTTTTAATTAAGCTTTATGTAAGCTGGCTTGCTCTTGTCTAACCAGTTAGTTTCACTTCCAGCCGGTCTTCTCAGATGTTATCAGGCTTTCAGAGCTCAAATCTAGATTTTGTTTTTTATTATTTAAGTTTCATAAATACACGTTTAGCATTTTAAATCAGTGTGGTTATATAATAGGTTTAGCACAAGCTTAACCTAAAGGCTACCTTAAAAAAAGTGACTGTGGCTGTATTTTTAAGATCTTGTACATATTCCTAGCTTTAATAATTCCATTAGCCAGAAAGCTTCTGACTATATTTATAAGCATTTAATCCACATGTTTTGCTAATTGTTTATACTGTAATTTGTTCCTAGCGTCTGTTTTTATTTGAGGTGTCTAAATATTTGTCCAGGCTTCAGTCTCTTCAGGAGCTATTTCTACTTTAGTCTCTTTCTGAAAACTAGTGAATCATATTAAAATTATTTACATTTTTAATACATAGGTACTCTCTATATACTGGCATGGATTCAAGAACTTTACTTAACATAGCCACAAAGCTCTATTTTTGTCTTTATTCCCAGTTTATTTTAATCTCTGTCCTGTACAGTATTGAGTCATGCTAAAAATATCTTCATTAGACTGCCACTGATCTATGACAGGACATTTGGGCAAGCTATGTCTGAGTTTTGTGATAACTTTAATTAAGTTAGTAAGTATATCAGAAATTTAAACAAATAATGGAACAAAAATTTATTTTCATGTGTTCCTTTTGTAGGATTCTTAGATAATTGCATTGATTTTTCTTACTTGTATTTAGATTTAGTCATTCAATTTAAACTCGCTTTGTTATCCTCTTGCAATTTTTTTTTTTAAGATTCCAGACTCTGTACTTAATGCATATTTTGTCACTGACTGAGGTGCATTTTTGCAGAATTACCATTTAAGAACTTGTGAAGACTTTTGAAACCAGATTGTTATATAAAACCTCAGCTAATTTGTGTGACAGCATTTTAATGGAATATTGAGTTGGAAGAAAAATTGATTTGGCATCTCTCTGCTTGGTAGTTTGAAACCAACCAGACACACTGGCTAGCCATACTTCTTCATTTTGTTTTCCAGCCTTGTAAACATTTCCACGTTCCATCTGTGATGTCTAGTCCATGCATGAATAAAATATGAAGTAATTTAATACTACATATTATGTCAGGGGGTTGCTGTTTATTCTCAGGCTTGAAATTGAACTTTTTAAAATCACACACTGAAACTTCTTTGCTTTTTGGTACTCATTCAGGGCCCTGCCTTTGAGGCTGTGGTGTAAAAATACGTCTCATTCTCTGTAACAGGAAAAAAAAACCCTATTGGTTTTGTACTATTATTTATATTGAGACTGTAGTTTTAAAAAGGATAAGGAGGAGGAAAGAGGAGCTAGTTCTCATTTCTCTTCTTGTATTTGGACTCTTGGAGCCCATGGTGCAGCCCAGTAGAGAGCTCATGGGCCATCCCAGCTATCAGCCTCATGGAAGCTTGCATTCAACAAGTAGTTGTGGTTGGATGACAGACAGGTAACTGAAAGTCTCTGTAGTCCTCTACCTCAAGACTAGTAACCTTTCAGTATGCACATTACCACTCAGATGAAAGGATAAAGGCAGCATCTTAATAGCTTTGTATCCTTATCAGCTAAAACTTCTGCTGAAATAGCAGGTTGGTATCACAAGGCCATTAGCCTTTATATGCATGCATGTTTGAAGCCATGTTATTTGCTCTACATTTGGCAGATTGCAAAGCTCTAGTTGTGCAACCATGTACTTGTGCTAGGATGAAGAGTTTCTGGGCCTGTGCTTCTTTGCCTAGTGTAGGACAAGTCTCTGAAATGCTAGTCTGTGCTGTAGCATTTACAGAAGCATTCAATGTCTGTGAAAAGATATCAGTGTGAAACAGTAGTGGCATAAGCTCACCCTTGCATTTAGCTGTCTGTGTGGCCTCTAACTCCCATCCACATGTAAATAAAGATTTAACACTGTACCTTAACCATTATAGCTATTAGTATGCAGTCCATGCTCAAAATTTTAAATAGATGTGTAACGTTTAGTTATACCACTAACTTTTGCTTCTTAGTTTACATAGCTTTAAGGAATGAAAGAATGTGGTTAAAAGTAGTTTTGGTTAGTGATCACTAAACATGTTTTTTCTTAAATCAGAACATAGTGCCTCTGACAGTGAAAAATGGGCAGCAAAACAGCTTGGATCTATTATTTTAAGCAGCCTGACAGTTAATATATATTCTATATTTGTTTTGAAATGAGATGTACATTTTAGAAGAGGTGTTAAAACAAATAATTTAGTTTATTTCTCTGTTTTCTTCTCATGAAAAATGACACCATCACTCCAGATGATGACTTGTGTTTTGTCAATTAAATTGATGTAGGTTTAGTTACTGAAATAATTATTAGGCAAGCCTTCCTGAACACGTTTGTGCCTTGCATTTCGCCTTTTCTCCCTCCTTGATTACAATTCTCTGGAAGAGATCAGATTGCTCAGCAGTCTACCAGACATTAGAAAACCAAAATCAGATATATCAAACTACAATCTCGTGTTCCTTGATACGAAAATCCCACTTTCCTTTATATGAAAATGACAGACTCAAGCAAAGATGCAGGAGTTGTCTTCAGTTTTTCAAATACCTATTTTTTCCAGCTTACATTCATATCCAGGCGTTTGCTCAATATGTTGTCATAAAATTTTTAAGTAAATATTTTTGACAATAACTTTCCATGAAGATAGTATTTTCAAAAGTCTTCTCTTCACTTTCCAGTGTCATGTTAAAAGAATTTGTAGATATAGATAAGTACATTTGCAAGTTCCTCATGGGCTGTTTGGTTTCATTTTAGTCCATTATCTGTACAAACTTCTCTTTGGAAAATTAAGATTGTGTGATACATGCGGGATATAATGGGAGTTGCGGTTTGTAGAGAACAGAGTCTCTGGAGTCATCTTACAAGTCAGTTTTATTGTGTGTGTATAACTAAAAACATCTGTGCGACTTGCTGTTAACAATATTGTTTGGGCAGCCCTAAATCAAATCCTGAATGGGCAAAATTACAGAAGGCAGGCTTATACTGGAATCCTTCAGGTCAAACCCACTGGTGTCCAGTCTTTTCTCCTTGACATAAAAAGTATTAGCAAAGAGGTAAGTTTGTGCTAGCTGTCCTTGTTTCACCAAGATCTATCTTCTGCAAACAGGCTTGTGTTTACAGAAACCAAAGTGAAAATAGCATGTGCACAGCATTAACCAACTGCGGTCAAAATAGTCGTGCATTTGCATAGCTGTGCAGTATTTAAAGGAACTGCTACAAGCTTTTTCTTAAGAGTGTGTCCTCTTCAGGCATCTTTCAAGAAGTGGAAGTCTCTGTTTCTAAATAGCATTGTTTTTTGCACAGTAGAAGAAAACAAGTTCAACTGTCTTGTTGCAGCTTTTGATAAATGGACACTGACATGGACTACGAAAGACCCAACGTTGAAACTATCAAGTGTGTGGTGGTTGGAGACAATGCAGTGGGAAAGACTCGTCTAATTTGTGCAAGAGCATGCAATACAACCTTAACTCAGTATCAGCTGCTGGCAACTCACGTACCAACTGTCTGGGCCATTGATCAATACCGTGTCTGCCAAGAGGTAAGGACTGCAGGTATACCAAACATGGAGCACATACTTAGAGATTCTCCTATTATTTATTGGCAAGCCTTTCTTTGTCAGGGTACAGCAATGAGCTTACAAGTATTGTATGTGTGGTCTCCACTGAAGCCGTCGTCTGCCCAAGTATCTTGTTCCAAAGTAAATTTTTTTTAATTAGACCTATTTTTAGGAAGATGCATGTTCTGCCTGCTTCAGAAAATACAACATTTGCTGAAAACTATATGTGATAGACTCTTGGTCTAGTATGGTTTGGACTTTCTTACAGGATGAATTAGAAATGTGCTTGTTTGATAGAGGGAATGAAAAAGTTATGTGCCTTCTGTTCTAGGTCCTTGAACGGTCAAGAGATGTTGTGGACGAAGTGAGTGTTTCTCTCAGGCTATGGGATACCTTTGGGGACCACCACAAAGACAGGCGCTTCGCTTACGGAAGGTAAATTGATCCAAGCAAAATTTCAAGTAATGACTGGTAAGATTTTAGGGTAGAAAAAATTCACAAATCTATATTTTGAAAAGCAAAGACTTAAAAACAGTCAAGGGTACTCATATTTCTGTCCACTGCAAAGAGGATTATCTGCTGCAAGGATTAAAAAGATATAAATATTTTAAAAGCAGCATAGTTTCACTATGCTAAATTTCCTTAAACAGCCTGCCTGCTAAGCTACATCAACAACTGTTGTCCTATTTTGAATTTTAAAGAACATTCCCTAAAACCAGGTTGTAGTTTTACAAAACTGAACATCAGTATTCCCTGCCTGCATAAACAGTGTGTGGTATAGTTGCTTAACAAACAACTAACAAGGAGAGATGTTGGGAAATATCACTCCTACTCAATGAAATATTTATTATATTAAAACCTGTGATGTTAAATGGGAAACTAACTTGGAAGCAGAGCTAGTTGCATGAAAGGTGAGGCTTTTCTGTGTTTTCTTGATTAAAAATTAGGAAACAAAGGGTTTTCTGCTATAAATATCAAGTGTCTGCTGCTCAATTTATTAACTCTGGAAATTCTAAAAAAAACCCCAAAAAATTAATGTAATCTAGGTTTTTCAGCATGTATAATATAGCTTCAGTGTAGTTTCAAAAAGGACTAAAGCCAGTGGTAGTCCTTCTGTTTTGTTTAGTGGTAATTAGGTCTGGCCTTGTGGCAGTACAGGCAGCAGAACAGCTTGAGTAACAGGCACTTAAATACACATCTAATGAGAACAGATTATCTGCACTGGGCAAACCTTGAGCTGAAGATGGGTTTTGGATAAATATTTCCCTAATTGACATTTGTCAGAGGTCTCAGCCCTTGCATGATTTTTCACCTTCTTTACTTTTTGTTTCCTTTTGACATCTGCTTCAGTAGCTGCAGACGATCAAAGCTCCATCAACAGATACTATTTTTTTTTTTCCACTTGGGACTGCCCTTTGTAGAGTGTCTGTTTCAGCTTTGGATTCCGTGTTGCCAAAGTGTACTGTCTTGCTGGTTTTGTGTTCTAATGAAACTAGCGACTTTGAAGAATGACAGTCTTTTCTATTTTCTCTCTCTTAGGACAGCTGAAGAGGGTTCTGGTGGTCAAATCCACAAGTTAAATTTTCACACTGTAGAACTCCATATGGCATTTTGTACAAACTTTCTTTGGTATATAGCACTGTGTTAGTTTTGCTTTCACAGAGTCATAAATTACCTTGAATTTCTTGTCAGAATCTTAAGTAGCAACACATCTGGGGTACACAAGCTCTACCATTTGTAAATAAGCTTTGTGAGTGAGGGAAGTTAATGACTTTAAGATAATGTTTGCCTTAATATATAGTGCTACTTGAGTATGTGAATATTGTTTTACCATTTGGCAGCATATGGAGCCTACTTTGATAAATATGGACGTAATTTAATGTTTCCACTAACTGTTCCTCTTTGATGTGGCCCCCTGATATTCTGCAACAGATAGTGTGTCACTGAGAAGATTACTAGAGATTAGGAGAACAAAATCAGACATGTTCTGAACTGTGATCTGACGTTTACTGACAGGACGGGAGAAGGGAGAAACAACATACTTAGTATCTAATCCTGCAAACACCAAAGACATGAATAACTTGAGATCTTGTGGGATTAAGCACATGAACAGAGTGGTTCATTTGTGTTGTTTGCAGAACTGAACCTGTGTGGAATCAGGTTTGCTACACCCTGATCAACTTTGAAAGACCATTCTGGAAACCTACTGGTCTTTTACAGTGGTTTTTTTTTCTTCAAGTCCGTTAATGCAGAAAGTAACTGCAAACTCTAAAGAAACTATTGTATAAAAATAATTTAAATTGTAAAATTTCCTAATTGTAAGCACTGACTAGGAACTTCATTGTTTTAAAAGGCGTTAATGTTTCATTTGAATCAGCTGTTTATTATTTTATCTATTGTAGCATTTAAAAAAAGATATATCCTATACTGAATGTTGACATTTATAGGAATTTATTTTAAATCAACTGAACATTGAACTACAGTCTAGTCATAGCTGAATCAAATCTTACAGGACAGTGAAAGGTATATTTTATACCAAACTGCTCAGGGCTATGCCTGCAAGTGCCCCATATTTCTGATTGTCTGAAGGATCATATAATAATATAACCTTTTAAGTCTCTTCAAAAAAATTTATGCATGTGCCCCTTATGTGGGGGAAATCTTTCAGCCAAAAACTCAGCCAAGACCTTTAATTGTCCTAAACATGGTATAACAAGAACCAGGAGATCCTTAATTCACCTGCTGCTGATAGGAAAACTGTTCCATACAGTTTTATAAAATATTATATAAATATCTTATGCTAAAGATGACAGGGTGAACAGTTAATATGACTTGCAGTGAAGATAAATCCCTCCTAATTCTTTATTTCTATAGATAGAAACACGAAAGGAGAATGACAAAAGGAATGTATGTTCCATGATTTTTGTGTGACAGAAATAAAGAAACATATTTGAATGTTGCTGAGGATGGACTAGTTAATGTTTCTAGTGCTGTCCTTTAAAGTAGCAGTATGGAAAGTGATATTCAGCTCGTGTCCTACTGTGTGGTGTTTGGGATGGCGAGATGTGGCTGGAGGGATGTATAGAAAAAATTAATGCAGTTTTATAGCATTACGTGTTTTTTGTTTGTTTTGGGTTTTTTGTTTGTTTTGTGGTGTGTTTTTTTTTTCCCCTTGAACTAGAGCCATCTTAGTTCTGGAAGTATCCTGTTCAATTAATTTTAAGCACTATGTGATGCCAAAGAGTAATTTGTTGATAGTGTTCCATAGTGTTTCCTTTGATGCAAAATTCTTCCAAAGTGTAAAACGACAATGTCTTTGTTATGATTACCTAATTGGTTCCAGCTTCTCATCACCTCCTTGTTTAATAGCAGTCTAGTCTCAGTGCTATTGTATTCTCTAAGCCTGCAAATAAGATGAGAAAGTCATATAAAGCTCAAGTTGCTATTTTGTACCAGTTTCCCTGGGAAGCACACAATTGCGTGTGTAAAGACATGAAAACAACTCACTTTACATTTCAAGTTATCAGGATTCACTATCTTCCTGTCCAATCTGATTTTGAACGAGGGTGTTACAATGTCTTTGTGTTCAAACTAATTCTAAAAGCAAAATGGGAAAAAGACTGGCTTGCACTTATTTTTTTTTTTTCCTTTTTTATCCTTCTTCATTTTTTTCAGGCAAACGGGTTTAAGCAAAATTATATTAATATCCTATGAATACTGGTTTTTTTTTACATGCAGCTCTAGTATGTGTAAACATAAGCACAAATCTGCTGAGTTAATTCAGGCCCAATCAAATATTTATTTTCAATACCATGGATGTGGTTTGTCAGTTAATTCAGCTGGGATGATTTATTTACTTGTAACTTAAATATGAGCTGTAGACCAAACAAAATCTGTTCATGCAGCATGGACAGGAAACAGCTTTTTTCTCATGACTTACAAATGTGAATGAGTCTTGCTGAAAAACTGCTGACAGAGCCTCTTAAAATACATTTAGAATATTTCCTCTGTTGTGGATGGATTCCATAAGCCTTGTGGGTATTGCATGAACACAGAGGACACACACATTTGTCTTTTTCAGTGTGATTACGATTCCTTTAATCAATTATTTCAGTGTAATGGAATCCATAGAAATGTACCTTCTGAGCACTGCTGAAAAGAGTCCATGAGAATAGGAGTTTCTCTGAAATTTGAAGTCTACCACAGATCTCTTCAAAGTCATTTTATTTTCTGTTTCCTTTTCTTAAAGGGTAGTTAATGATGATATTTTTATAAAAACAAAACCCATTTAGCTTTGACATGAAATTCCCTGTGATTAGAGCGAAGTGGGTGTCTTCACAGAGTTGCTTGGTTTGCCTTTAGTTAGATCAGTGCCCTCTGTCATTCACTGCCTGTACCTAAGCTGAGCATAGGCCAGAAGCTCTTGTTCTATCTTCAGAGAAGGTTCAGGTTTTCAGAAGTGTTTTGGATGAAAGCCCATGCTTTCCCCTGCACTTCTGCTATCCTTTTTTTTTTTTTTTTTCTTGGTGTTATGACAATTCTCCACCTTCCACATGCCTTGAGAGCCATGTAGTGGCATGGGTTGGAGGCAATCATCAGAGATGTGTCTTGGCAGCAGAAGCTCTTAACAGACACAACATAGTATTTTGGTTTGTTAACCAAGTGTTAGCTGATGGGGTTTTCAGATATCTCACCTTGGTTGCTTCCTTTTGCTATGTTTTTCTGCCACAGAAAGTTACATGCAGCATCTTTGATACATTTTCCAGAAGCTGTGAGCCTCCCCATCTACTTTTGAGTTTGACTCAAATCTGCCTCAAGAAAGACTAGAATAAGCAGAGATCACAGAAAGATAGCTTTCTCTAGTAATTTTATTCTTATTATGATATGTGTATGCACTAGCTTTTTCTTCTTTTATTATCTGTATTAACATTTGAGGCTTTTTCACTGAGTTGATGAGAAAATGTTTTATATAATTAAGCCAGTGAAATTAATGAATATCTAGTACTTTTCTTCTCGGCATCCCGGTTCCAGTTTGGGAGTAGAAAGAGTTTGCTATGGAATTGCTTTTAGGAATCCTTTTTTTTAAGAGGTATGTGCCAAATTACTGCTTGGTGGGGTCTGAAGCTAAATCTGATGTATATGTAATATATTTATAATAGAGAAACACCTGTAATGTTTTATGCCTTCCTCGACTGGAGGGGAAAAGTATGTATCAAATGTTATCTGCGTTATTACATAATTTTATATTTTTCCTTGCTCTTTGAAGTCAGTGACTGAGTAGCTGGGTGGAAAGAGGGCATTTGGGCTCTATCTTAAAAGACTGCAAGGCAACATCAAAATCTTTTGGAAATGCTAAACCCCTTTTCATCAAAATCCTGATGTCAGTTAATTATTTCTCAAGGCATAGGTGCTAGGTGTATTTCTTAAGCTGTTTT